TTCATTGCTCCTATGCACGTCTCTGTGGGACATCCAAATATCATGGCTACCCTAGTAGTATAAGGAATGTGCATGTGTTTTTAACCCAGATAACTGTGCTTCTGCTTGTATTTATGGTGCTGGTCAAAAATACCACAGTCCTATTGCTGTGGCTGGTCGAGGACAATCGAATGAATGCCTGTATTCAGGTGGATATTGCCAGCGCAAGTGTGTCACTGAGACCTTAGAAGACTGAGGTCACCTAGGTTGCTAGCACCAGGTTGCGTTCAACGCTGAGCAGATTTTTTTTATGTATCACCCAGCTGTAACATGCCTTCCTCTAGTTTTGGGAACTGATTGTCAGGACAAGGAAATAGGTTTCATTTCTGTGACTGCCACTAGGGGTATTCTCTTATGTGGAGAGAATGTTCTGCCTACAACGAGGTTGTGCTGAAAGTGCTCCCAGATACTCCAGATGGTGAAGAACTGTAGAGTGGGCGTGAAATTCTGTATTTTTAAAAGATGTCAAGTGCATGCATAGTCGGAACTGGGCCAGGCTCAGGTCAGCATAGGGCACAGAAAAAAACCAGAAACTCGCCTTCTGTTACAACTGTGTGGAGACTATTTCAACACTAATCTCCTTAATTGTAGCAAGGATTCGTTGTTCTCTTTTGTTAGCAGGCTGGCTAGAGAAAGGGCAGGAAGCAAGACTGAAGTAAGGTTTAGAAGTACTATTGGATGTCAGCTGAAGCACTGCCTTGATTATCGGATTAATTCTGATTTTCACCTCCAACTGGATGTTTGCTCCCAGTTTAGTCTGTCTGGTTTGTCTCTGTTGACTAATTGTATGTTTAAATGGCTATTGATTTGGTGATTGGAACTTCATTGAAAACCCTCAGACCAGGATGGTGTGGGTAGAGCTTAGAGAAGGCTTCGCTGTGCACAAACTCATCACTGATTTGCTTCAGCCATTACTAAGAAGGAGAAATGAGGGGTTTGAGAGGTGGGAAACAGGGAGCTTACTCTGTATGATATCTTTTTACCTCTGATCTTGCCTTTGCCCCTTGGAGCTTCTTCCACTCCGTCTCACTGTGTAACTCATTCCAAAGATGAGCCACATTTATATACCTGAATCTGGGATTGAATTAGCAATTTTTTTACTGACTTTTTAGAATCAGATTTTTATTCAGCAACCCTATTCAAACAAAATCAATTTCTAGATTTCTGTTCCATCTTCAGCAGTTCTGGGTGTTCTTCAAGTCCCTCTCATGTAAATTTAATCATAATGTTTGAGATTTCTTGTCTAAGGAGGGTTATTCTGTGGCAATGGAATCAGTGGAGCTGAAGGACAAAAATGGGCTTTTTTAAGAGGGAAGAAACTCATTATTATCTCTTTTTCAGTTTGTTGTTTTCCAGTGTCTGCAAAAAAACTCTGGTTTCCAAAATATCTAATGCACGAGAGGGAAGCAATAGAGCTTGTATCAGCTACTTCCACTTGCAGTTCTGATATCCTCCAACCCCCTCCTCACAGCGAGGGCAAACAACTGTTTCATGCAAGGCACATCTGAGCTGAAGGCGTCAAAAGAGCCATTTCATGCTTGCCTGCACTTTCTAATACAATCTGCAGAGAGAGAAAGGAGAGAGAGCAAGGAGGTTTGTGCGTACATGCTCATTGCCTTTGAGTGTATGTATTATATACAGTACATTTGGTTCCAGCTTGCAGTTGTGGATGGCAAGTAAGGGGTTGCAGGTGTGAGAGGAGAGGGAATTGCACTTTGGAAAGAAGAAACTGTTCCCCACCTTGAAAAAGGAATTTTCTTTCCTTTTTTGTTTCTTGGCCAAGAGTAGATGCGAGTCCCCAGGGCATCACTGACAGATGGCACCCAGAAGGTGTATATATATGGCTGAGTGAGTATTGTGTAGAGAGCTTTGTGTCTGCAGACCATGCCAGTGTGTAGGCTGTGCAGCTAAGGAAACTGATGTGCATGGATGCTACTCATAGCCATCTTATTTTAATGCTGCTCTTAGAAAGAGCTTTTATTTGCAATAGGTTTGTATGTCCCATGACCAGAGCGGTGCTGCCTGCCAGCTAGTAGTGCGGTAAGTTGCTGAGTCAGCACCCCCACAGGGAACCCCATCGAATATTTTGTAACCAAAACACATCTGCTCTGTCACTGTATCAGTTCTCTACTTACATCTTACATATTACATCTTACATCTTACATACATCTTACTCCTTACATATTCATTACCACACTACGTGTCTATTAGAAGCCATTGTGGAACCAGCCATGGGTCCTTTCTAGCATGAGAATGAGTTTGTTTCTCAGTTTCCCATCCAACTTCCCTTATCTAGCATGCATGCCTCTACTGATTTCTATATCCATATACCCTTTTATTCTAACACTTTCCTCCGAGGCATACTTGTCCAAGCACTTACTTGTCCATGAGTCTCATGTCCTGTAAAAAATCATAACAGTGACTTGTTTGATAGGGCTAAAAGAAATGCAGTAAATGAAAATGTTTGAAAAATATATTGGGAATTTTTTTCCTAGAGAAACCTAGAAAACATTAATGCATGAGATTTTTAATTCACTGCTAAAAAACACAACTTAAAACCAGAATAAAAGTGAGCATAGTACTTGGAAAGCACAGTACATCACACGGAACCCTTGGAGAGTCTGGCTGCCCAGGTAGTGCAGCTTCCCTTTCCAAAACATACTTGGCCCCTTGCCTTTAGGCGTTGAGAGGATGATAAGGATTGGTTCTGTCTGATGTCAGCATGCGTGGCTCTGCTGCAAAATAGGGGAAAATGGGTTGAAGCGCATCAGGAGAACACACAGATTCCAAATACATTTTGTTGCAGATGGTTAAATTAGATGGAGTGTTAGCTTTCCTGGAGGGCGAGGTGTCCAGTGAGAATCCTAACCATTGGAGAAAACTAGCTAAACTGCATGAGGCGCTCGTATGAGTGAATTACAGAGCAGAGCTTCCATGTGTCCAAGGAGCTAAACTGGTCACTTTTTACCTCTGGAATTCTCAACACAGTTCTGTGATAAAAGTCTTACATGGAGCAGTCTGTACATTTCTGCCTTCCATAGGAGTTGGCTATAGGCAGAAGGGACTCTGACTCATACATTAATACATATATGTAGATTTGTAAATTGTGCTGATAAAAATGCTTTAGAGCATATTCATGGACTGAAACAATGATTGCCATGCGGTAGTGTTTGCTACAGTTCTATCACAAAGCTTTAATTTTACCCCTTTAGAGAAGAATATCAGCTTCTTCAGGCAAAAGCTTGAAAAGATAGAGAATGTTAAGTAGTTTATTTTATAGCATCTTGCCTCAATTGAAATCTCTGTTTCCTTTGACATCCTCAGAAAAGGCGGAAGAATATAATTTCTTTCCTTGTTATTTTTGTCCTTTTCCAACCTCCTGGCTTTCTGTGTGCCCCCATCTCCTGCTTTTTCCTGTGTTTCAAATGAAACTTAAACTTGACACGGATTTTGGTTTGTTTCTTTATTTGCCTTGCAATGCCATCAGTTGTGTCAGCAGAGCTGCGGAAACATTAGTTACTGGGGAGCGGAATCACAAAACCAGCACAAATCTGATATCAAAAAGACCCATTAAGGAAACCTCCTTCATACTCGTACATGTTTGTCCTTTTCAGTGTTCCTTTCATTCCAGCAAAGCTCTGATATAAGGTCAAAGGATCAAAACTGGAGTAGATCTATTGGTTCAACATTAACTAATGTTTTTTATGGCCTTTTTCTAAGGATTTGTGTAGCCTACCTTTCACTGTCCCTGAGTAATGTATACCCCTGGAAGCTGTTCTGCAGTCTTTCTTACCCATGCTTTGGAAACATTTTTGCCTTTCCTGCTTTAGATTTTCTTTTTTCATTTTCACTCTACTACTTGTAGTTATGGTTCTCTACTACTTCTAGTTAGGATTCTCTGGATTTTCTAAAAAATTTGTCTCCTTTATATTATTTTTGTAGGTCCTAAATTCATAGTAATTCACATATAATAGCTAAGACCAATGAACTTGCTACATGAAATTCAAACACCAGAACCAATGGAACAAGTATAAGGTTTAATTCTCTTTTGTTTGTTTTGTATGTCTGTTGTCCCATCACTGGTCCTTTTTAGGCCGTAAACTCCTTTCTGGATGTTAGTCTGGTAGACTTTCTCTGACTGGAGAATCTCAGCTTTCTGTTGACTGCGTTGATCCTATTGCACTTAATTGTTACATTGTCTGGGTAATAGAGTTCTCCAAAGGTAAAAAGATATTGTTCGTTATTCCTAACAGCTTGTGCTAGCACATAAATGGTTGGGAATTGCTACCTGTGTTGTAGTTTTCCACAGGTAGCCCCCTTCTAACTGAGGATAGCATGGAAAGTAGGATGAAAACTATCGTACGAGGTTTGGCTCTAAGAGAGATTGCTGTATTGGACAGTGGTGGCACAGTCTATGATTGCTTCTAGTTGTTATTCTTTTTTTAAGTACCAGCAATATGATGAAATTCTTCACTAAATAAGCAACAACTCTTAGAGTACCAGAAATAGGAACTCCGAGGCTGCAAAGGCAAGACTGAATACTGTAGTGAAATGTTGTAGACTTTATTTAAACTAGTCATTCCAGGTAGGGAAGGCTGGACTAGTGGAGGAGATCCTATTATATGGAAGATGAAAAAAATGGAGGCTATGCCAGCTTATTAGCACCAGTGTTAACACGTTTGTTTGTGGGAATTCTGACTCCGCATATACTGCTGCCTCTGCTTGTGGTGTTGTGCCATATATTTCTTTTTCGTGCTCATACTTGTCATGTAGAGTTGCGGGATGAAGTTAAACAGTTGCTGTGTTTTACCCCTGAAGTACGTACCTCTTTCTGTGGTGAGTTATATGGCTACAGTAAAAATAGTGCTCTATAATAGATGTCAGGGTTATTCAAGAGTGTAGATCACACAGAGGAGTAATTTTTTCTTCATTTTTTGCAATTGTTTACTGATTTGTTGCAGAGGCCTCCATCTTGAGTTACGATGGCAGCATGTACATGAAGATCATCATGCCTATGGTCATGCATACAGAAGCAGAAGACGTATCCTTCCGTTTCATGTCCCAGCGCGCCTATGGGCTGTTGATGGCAACCACCTCAAGAGATTCTGCTGACACTCTGCGCCTGGAGCTGGATGGAGGCCGTGTCAAACTTATGGTTAATTTAGGTATCGTATAAAGAACTCCTGCTGCCCCTTCACTCTTAGTTTGGTCTTGTGATGAGTGGTTTTTTAATATTTTTTGTTTAATTTCTGTTGGTTTGATTGGATCGGATTGATTTCTAAAATAGCCGCTGAGACCTTCATAATGATATTCTCTTGTGGAGAGAAATTCTCTCCTGCATCACTGCATGGAGATTTGCTGTCAGTTCTTTGTTTTGGACAGTGTTGGGTTTCAAGTCTTTAAGTTTTTAAGTTTCCTTTCTTGGTCTGGGACTGGTGAGCTCTGTGTGAGACATGCTGCCTGGTCCATCTTTTGATCAGTTACATTCCTCATTCATCTGACCTCTTCAGCATCACTCAAAACAGTCGAAACCAAATGTGGGAGGGAAGCCAAACAGATATGGTGGCAAGTAGAAGTGCTGTGAATCCCAAGCCCTTTAAAGAATTTGGCAGCATTTGATAGAACTTGATCTAAAATATGCAAGTAGCTTTATTATATGTTTCAGCCTTTAGGGCTTTTTATATCTAGTGAAAACATCTGAGTTTTTTGATTGTGTCTTTGTTAAAACAAAGGCATCAATAATAAAAGTGCATCACCCCGTTCCGAAAGGTCATGTTCTGTCTCCTTAGAGTTATACTTGTCCGGAAAAAAAAATTAGAAAAGAGCACAAAAATAACAACAATGAAAACATTTTTCAGAATGAACATGTTTGATGAGCCTGTATCCATTTTTTTGCCATTTTCTAGGCATTGTACTAAATACCAAATAACCTTTTTAAAAAGAATATAAATACAGGAAGTGAAGCTTTCTCTCACTTACACTGATGCACCTTGTCGATTCATGTGAATCCAGCAATGTAATTAAGAAGAGATTTTGAGTCAAAGGGGCAGAACTATCATGATAATGGAGAATGTTAAACGTCTTCTGAGGTACTTGATATGAAGATGTGTGCATGGTCTGTGAAAGCTTGTGTCAGCTTTCAGAATTCCAAGCCCCACAGGAATAAGCTTTCACATTTTTTGAACTACAAGGTCAGCATCTTCAAAGCCTTGCCACTGTGGTATCAGGAGCAAACTATGTAGCAGCTTTGTTTGTAGAGGACAGCAAAGTATTATGCACCCAAATCTGTAGTAATATTCCCTGTTTTTCAATTCCTGTCCCAGCTAGATACAGTCAGTACATCAAGGTCTTGCTGTACCACAGATGAAAGAGCTTGAGTGGTGGTTTTAAGGTTCCTCATCCTCACCTGCACTTAGGTGGAGCTCAGCAAGGAAAAAAGGTCAATATGTTGTCCAGCAGTGAAACTTAACCTCTGAAACTAACCTGTTTTTAAAAATTGCTTCTAGTCTCCTTTTGGCTTGAAAAGTGCAAGTCAGCTCTAACATCGACTTTTGGGATGAGAGTGAAAAGAAGATGCATTAAAACAAGACCATGTCTCTTAAAAATAGGGTCTACATCCCAAAGGGATCTGGAAACCCTTGTTTTTATTTAAAAAACGAAAAAAAGTGTAGTGTTACATATCTCCTGTTTGGACTATGTATGCTTTGCTTAGCTGGACTGGAGAAGCGTAAAGCACCATTGAGTGTCTAGGTAGCATAGGAACAGATGCTGTGCTATCCAGACTGGCTTAGAGGCCAGAGGGATTAGATCAACTTTAGCAACCACAGTAACTCTTCAAATAAACAAAACCGGAAGGGTGATGATACCCTTCTCTGCCTATGTCAACTTTAAGAGAAGGAAAATTTAAAAGATTTGCAGAGTTTGTTTGGAGGACAGTTCAAAAAAATTGCTGTTCAGCATTCTTACATGTGCAAAGAGAATCTTTCAAAAAACCCCAGTGTGTATATATGTGTCTGCTTTTTCTTCTGATCTAATACAATTGGTGCTAATAATCTGGCACAATGAGAATTTATTTATTTTTCAGCGTTGTCTTTCATGGCAATTATTTCTAGCCCTTTTCTTCTCAGAGGATATACTTCATCACTGGAAAACTGTAGTGGCATGTTTCTGTACAGGAAGTGATGAGGCAACTAAGTATTCTGCTTAGCTCTGCTCCTGCTACCTCTTTGTAACCCATAGCCAGTCATTTTACCTTATATGCCTTAGTTTCTTTCTTTGTTAAAGGAGCTGATAACTTTGCAACCTGTCGAGAGTGTGATAGGGTTTCAGAAAGTGCTGTGTGTGGTCTGTTAGGCCATCACCTAGCCCAGGTGTGGAATGTTTGACTCTTACTAGCTAGCATCTAAAAGACGTGGCTAAAAACTTCACATGTGGTCTACACACATTTGAAAAGGGAAATCTGTGGTTGACGATTTAATACAAGGGTGAAATCTGTGAAGCAAACCCTGTGTTGACTGAAGGCTATTTTTATGTAAGTTCAGGGACTGAAGCAGGGAGGGTGTGTGCTGTGAAGTTCCTACATTTCCCATCTTTTTCCCTGGAGACTTTTGAAAATCTTGTGAGGTTGAATCTTCCCCCAAAAGTGACTAGAGGCTGCATCAGTGGAAACCTGTCACAACTCTTTTTTTATGCCTAGCTCCACAGACGTGCAGTTTAAATGTTTGAACCTGAATCAAGCTTCACCTCTCCTTTCTTCAGATTTATAAAGCTGTCAGATATATTCTAAGACCTTAAATCAGCACTTTCCTACTTTCAAAACAGCGAGGTTACCTTGCTGTTGAAATAACAGAGTTTGAGGAGAAATGACCTTAACAGAGCCATTCATTTTCAGTTTGTTTACTGAAAGTCACATCTGTCTCTTTAAGGAGACTGATCATAGCCCAAATGTGTCAAATGAGAACCAAGTCTTCATTACTTGACCCTGCCAAAATCCCTTGCCAGTAAGAGTCAGTCATAAATGCTAACTCTGAAGACCTGAGGAGCTCAGATCTGACTAGTTACATGTCAGCATCCACCCTGAGTATCTAACATGACAGATGAGTGTAAACAAAGACTGTTTTGAGTGGTGAGTTATTTAGTTGTACTTTTCTTATAAGTTATTTAATACTGTTATTAAGAGCTGTGTCTTTCTTCTCTTCTTTGATCTATTCCATTTGATTACTTATTATCATTTGTGTGGTTATTAAGCTCTTTCCTGTGTTGTTTTTTCTTTTCTTTTTTCCTCTTCTGTGTATTTGAGTTGTAAAGCTTTCCCATAGCCCATCAGCCATGGTAAATCAAAAGATGGTATTCAACCCTTCAAAGGCCTGAAGCCTGCGGCCCGCACAGCAAACAGCCCTGAGAACAGAGCGTACAGAGCAGCCTGCAGGGGCTGGCATATCCCACCAACCTCCTCAGCACTCGGTGTCCAAACCAAACAGGGAACATAGACAGCAGACTATAGACAGGAGGACGTGGGTGGGTGTGGGGGTGCTTGCTGAAGAAGATGGGAGGGGAAGGAGGAGCAGTGGTGAATAATTCTCTTTCTTTAGAGGGATGAGGAAATTTTTTCAGACCTTCCCCTGTGGGTGCCCAAGGCACTGCTTTCTGCACGTTGGCAGTGCATCTCAGAGTAGTTTGAGGGTTTGTTATGTGAAGGTTAGAAATCCAAATGGGACAGAGATTTCACTGCAGTTGAGAAGGACTCTCAAGAAATGGGTGTGGAGTAGAGGGAGAGAGAGAGAAATAAAGCAAATCATGGCTTGGAACATGCTCAAGAATCATTTCTACCCCTTAAAAATGTGCATAAAGGGAAAGATTTGGCTGGTCAGAGAGGGAGAGTCACCTGCATTTTTTTACCTCCCATGGCTGAGTGGGAAGGTTTACCAGGCCACTGACAGCTATTCAAGAATGTTTCAGTTTGTTTCTCCCTGGCCTGGCTAATCTTCAGGGCACTGGCGCCTAGAATAAATTCTGCCTTCGTGCTGTTAATCTGAGTCAGCATTGCAGTAAGGAAGTGTGGGTATTCATCCCTCTCTCCTTCCTTTTCCTCAGGGGTGTCAAAGACATCTTTGCCTTTCCAAAATGCATGGTTTCTTTTCTCTCGCCTATACACAAACAGAAGAGACAGATTTTCTGTTTTCATTTTTACATATATGCACAGTTTTACACCTAATTTCCTTTTGTGTGGATGATGAACTATTACATTCAAATGTATACCTATTCACACTAAGTCTATTTGACACGCTAAATGTATTTCTTATTAATAATTTTCTTTTTTGTAATCAGTACATATAATGACCCTTGATTTTTTTTTTTTTTTTGATTTTTGGCATAGAAATACATAAATATTTGTTAGCTGCCCTCTAATAGTTATAGGTGGGTGCACAGTCTAACTGCATGCGGGTAGGAGACAGATAAGGAGCCACACTATGACATGGGGTAAGAGACCTCTTCCAGTTTCCCCATGGGAAATAATCAAGAGTCAGTAGCAGCAGTCAGGTGTCAGTTATCTTTCTTGTGCCAGTCTTGCTATTAAGTGCTCTTCCATAACGACCTGTGGATGCTCATCAAAAGAAACAAACATTTTGTCCTCATGCAGTAAAAGTGAGTTTCTTTCCTGATTCGAAGAAACAGCCTGGGGCTTTAGCAGTGTCAAAAAACTTAAATATCACTATTTTGAGGCACAAAGCTACAAATGGTAAGAAACACAGGCCTAATTCCCAGAGACTTCTGTTTGCTGCTAAAGATACCTCCATTCAGAGGATGAATCCCTAATGTTAGCTAGTTGCAGTATAGCTATTAACCTTTTCCAGGGAGAGGATCTTTGGCCCATTTTCCAAGTGATGTGCTCAGGAAAACCTTTTGGCTGAGCACTGAGGAAGCAGCTTCTGATTTACATTAGGAAAAATAATGCAGGAAAGTAACTACTAGGTCTTCCCAGCTCATACTGCTCCCCTTGTACTTACAGGCTGTGTTGTGACTTTACTGCTTGCCTCCAGGTATATCATTCAGTGGCTGTACTGGCAGGTGACTGAATATACAGCTATTTAGGCATACGCATCTTTAAAATCCATAGCAAAGGAAAACCTCTTTTGAGGCAGGAGTGCAGCCAGACCTAAATAAAGCAAATCCCATCAGTATAACCCAATGACAGCGCTGAGAACCCTAGACAAGGGTTACCAAAAGTCTTATTGCCCTGCTACAAGCTCTGAGGGGATCCCAAGCAGTTTTCTTAATTGTTACTGAGTTCCCTGGGCGCTGCTCTTTTGACTACAAAGAAAGACCTGGGTAAACATGTGGGTAAACAGCCAGGGAAGGTATCCTCTGCTCTGGATTCATAGTGGTGTGCTAATTCAAAGGAAAATAGTATTTTCATCCTTTTTAAAAACTGATGTATGAGGGAGAAAACAGCTTCTTATTTTAACAGTTGGAGCTATTGGAGCTAGTTGGAGTTTGTTTTTTTTTTGAGCAAGGCGCAGAACTAAGGAAATAAAAAACCCTGAGCTTATTCTTTGAATGTAGCGCCTTTGATTTTGGATACCTCTCTTTTCAACGACTGACTTGAGGTTCAATATAGTTCGTATTTCCAGAGCTCCTGGAACTGCAGCAACTGCAGCTGCTGTAGCTCACATGACACTGGTACCATGAGATTTTAATGTCTTGCTCTACAACACACTTTAAAGTCTTGGAGGCTTGTTAAACATATAGCTCACTATACATTTCCTTTCTTTTGATGACTGCCAAGGTGTTGGAAAGCAACACCCTGACTATCTTCCACTTTTAAAAGAAAAAAGGAGGCATAGTCTCTTAGATGAATGTTGCTTCAGACCAGCCATGTTTCTTTTTACAGCACACTTATTGTTTAGCCCAAACCAAATTATCCTGTTGTTCTGGCTATATGAAATCCTTTGATCTCAGTTGCTTGCACAGTCTCTCTCTCTCTCTTTTTCATTCTCACTGTCTTTCAGGTCATAGAAGAAAGGGTAACTGGTTCCCCAGCATGTATGTCAGAGCTCCCTTACCTCACCTAACTCCTAGAAGGGATATTGCCACCACTGTATGGTGATTGTACCAATTGCTCCAGGGCTGTTTGCTCCCACTTTTCTGTTGCGGTTGACGACACATGACAAACCTAATCGCACAAAACCAAACCCAGATTTTCTCAAGAGAAGTTCTGCCTGAAAACAGACTCTCTCTGGCTGTGCTGCTCCTGATTGGTATATCCCTGATCATTATCACTCTTTATTTATAGACTCTTATTGTTTCTCCTCTTTCATTTTTTTTTTAAATTGCATTTAGTTTCAGCTGCTGAAATAATTTTTCTTACACCTGTCAGAGTAAACACAAAATTGGTCCAGTTAAGCAGCAAATTACACTCTATTTCTCTTCTCTCCTGTTCTGTATAATCTCTCTTGCTGGGCCATAAATATGACCATCTCTGCTGTTCAAAGCCTTAGGTAGCTGTAGCACGGTGCTGCTATCTGTGGCCTTGATTTCCTGCGAGACTGTCAGCATTGCCTAAGATGCCTAATAGCACTGATACTACAGCTCTCGCTCGATCTTGGACACCACAGTAAAGGATGTTCACAAGGCTCTAGGTATAAATTTAAGAGCTCCTTATGGGCCATATCCGGAGAGATGCTGAGCACTAGGGTGGTAAACGAGAGAAGGAAGTGCTCAGAAGCACTCTAGTTCAGACTCCCCTACCTCCACTTGTTTTCTTTTTCAGACTCCTCAGTTACTGTTTATTAGGTTCCACATACATAGTTCTGTTTTCTTTTCTTTCCATATACCCTTTTTTCCTCCCTCCTTTCCCTGCAACCTCTGAATGAAGCAGGGCCAGCAAAGGTTCCCCGACCTGCCACTTCACTGCCTGTTTCGTCTTCTCCCTGAACGTTACAAGCATCCTATTTAGTCCTAACGTTCAGACAGCAAGATGGGACTGGGCTCTGAGGAACTGGCAGGGCTGGGGACCTTTGAAAGGAATCCCTATAACTCCCAACAAGTAAAAAAGTATTCCCAACCTCCAGAACTAGCTGAAATCTGGGCTGGGCGTTCGTGCGGTTAGCTGTTTGCAAGTGGCCATTTTATGATAGGACACAACTGGGCAGTATATTAACCCTTTCCTCACCTGAATGGACAGTGGCAAATGTGCCTGTGCACATATTAAAAAGTATTCTGGGCTGGCACAAGGGGGAATGAGAAGAGGGTCTGTCTTTGGGAGAGTTGGAAAGGGTTAAATATTGCACCAACAAATCTCAGGCTGATTTTACAAGTATTCTGTGTTGGACAGATGGTGTATTTATGCAATAACAATATGAATTAATTCAAAAGAAATCAAGTGTAAAGGTTGCCTTTAAACTTCAAGCTTCTTAGAGAAATTGCTAAAGGTTTTTAAAAAGAGAAATGATACTGGAGTATGACTTACATTTGGAGAGAGGTTTTTTTTTTTTTGTGCCTTAGTTGTCAATTTTTTTTCTTGTAATTCACATCAGTTCATGGTCTGGAGTAGAAGATACTCTTAGATGCATAGGTTTCTATAAAAAGAAAATAACTTTCTTTTTCAACATGTGGATATATATGTATATTGGTATATCTCTCAATACATAGGTGTATATATATGTGTGTGTATATATATATTTATGTAACATATTTATAAAGAATATACTGTACATATACACCCACTCCTGAACTTGTACAGACTGTATATAAGTATAAAATGGCCACATCTCTTTGCGTGTGTCTGTCCCCGGAAGGGTGGACTGATTGTTTTTGGATGTCTGCAGCTGTTACCTTGAAGGATGCAATTTCATCTTTCATTTATTTTTCCCCATCTAGACTGTATCAGGATAAACTGTAACGCCAGTAAGTTTTCCCTCAAGTTTCATTTTGTTCTCTCTCTATATATATTAAAAATAACTTTATTTTCTTTGCTGTTTTATAAGCTGTTTTTCTTTTTCTTTTTCTTTTTCTTTCTTTTTGTTAATACTTTAGAAATTGAATGGTTGGGGAGGGATAGGAGGCTGGGGGGAGGAGGGAAGACCTTACAGTGATTGTATGTGAAAATTTTGTGTGAGGTTCCTCTAAGGAGGAGATGAACTGTTATTTCATAGCTTTGCAGAAGAGCACCTGAAGAACCTGATGAGCTGGTATTATACTTCGCTGGTAACCTGTTGTCTTTAGGAAAACATTTAAAGTATGAAATAAGAATAACAACAGGTACTGTATGCACTTCTCCACTACAAGGAAGGCATGTATATTAAAAAAAATCCTAAACCCAAACCCCTACTTTTGTTCAGGATGGTAACAGCTGAACCTGATATTTCTTCAAAGTCATTTTTATATGGGAATTGATTAGAAGAAAGAGAATTAGATCTTAGGTATAGGGTATATTCTCCAAACTGTATTCTCATATAACCTTTTATATAGTATTTACTACTCTTGAGTTTCTATGATAAATTCCAGATGCATCTTTGGGCCACTGAAAATCCCTTTCAGTCTGTAAGAGTAGAGAAGGGGGCTTAAAATCTCCGTGAAAAATAATAGTATAAGATCATACCCTACTATAGGCTGTGATTGAGTAAATAAAACTTTTCCTGCTATACTTCAAAAGAACTAGTTGAAATTAATGTAGGCCTCAAATTAAAAAGTACTTGGCGAAGTATGGTACTGTTTAGATCCCGAGTGTTCTTCAAGAATTATCTTATTTAAAATCAGATTCCTTGCTGATCTGGCATATCCTCTGTGTTAGATTTTACATGGAAAGATTTATGGAATGCTAAACATCATTTTGGAAATGTCAGAATTTCCAGTGCCAGAATGCTACACCTAACCAGATGGTAGATCAGCTTTCCCTCCTGGTCACTGCCAATTGCTGATTGGCATTTTTTACTCAGTAGCACAGAAGACCTTTGTATAAAAATAGGATCTTTTATGTCCTAAGAGTTCATATACTCTTGCTGCCTAACCACTTGTAACTCTATCTAGACACTTGCACCATAGTTCTCATTGATGTATGTCATCTGAGCAACCATATCAGCTCCTCTGGTATCATCTGATGTTGTTGTCATCATCTTCAACTTCTCATGACAGCTGGCTGTTAAAACCTCGTCCATAAAAGACTGTCTTCAGGTGGGAAATCAGCTTTGGGAGCAAGGAGCAAAGATCTTGTTTTCATGCAAGTCAAAATCTAGCAGTAATCGTGGGAAGCATTAAAGAAAAAAAAAGGAAAAGAGAATGCCAAAATCAGAGCAGTGGGAAGAGAGTCTGAATCCAGTGCTTTTGTTAGTTTCCCTAGAAGCATCAAAACATCTTAAATCATTTTGCTTCCATGCATTTTTAATAGTAGAGGCTGTTGCATTTTTAAATATATTTGTCCTCTAAAGGCTTGCATTTACTTATTTAAAAACACTTTACATTTTCCTAATTTATTTTTTATGATACTCTATGATAGTTTACTTAAAATGAACAACCACACTCCCAATCCCTCCGACACCTTTCCCTGTTGCTGCCTGATGCAGTGGCTCAGGTCATCTGTCCTGCTTTTTACAAGGAAATCTGCTGGGAGCTTATTAATTGAGAAACTGTATACCCTTGCATGAGTAACATTTGGTTAGGCAAGAGCAAACAAAATATCACTGCAACCATTCTTGCAGGCACACTATCATTTATTTGTGCGTAGAGACTTATCCACACAGAGATGGGTCTTCCAGGGTCAATGAGCAGTGTTTTGGGATGAGAATAAATAAACTTGAGGAATGAGTTTCCCAATCGGTTGAAGAGCTTCAGGTCAAGCAGTCACCATTTCTACTTGAATGTAAGGGACCTGGACCATGGTTTTAAAGGTGGACAGAGCTGTACTTTTGGGATCTCATGGAATGTGTAGGTTCAGGATCCTACTAGCAAGATCACAGCGAGCGCTGCAGCTCATGCTGTCTGAGAGGAGTCTAGTATATTGTCACAGGTAAGCATTTAACTTTCAATATACTCTTAATTTTCATTGAAAGGTGTGAGGTTTTTTTTGTTTGCTTATCTTTAGATGCCATATAGCTGATGTCGAATGCTGTTTTCCATCGCTTCATTTTTTCTTGCTCTCTTTGTTTTTCATCACTGTCATCTCTTTGTTCTGGAATGGAAGACTGACACTGTTTCCAAGAACAGGAACATTTCTCACTTTCTCCGTATTTATTTTAACACTTATTTCATCCCCTCGTTTCACTCTTGAAGAGAGCTAATCTGATCTAATCTGTTTCTGCACACTGATAGAATCTGGGGTCCCAAGGGTTAGTTCATTGTTTTGGATCCAGTTAATTTTGGAAAGGTCTTTGACAATAGAAGACACTTAGAGTATGGATTGGTTTTCCCCTTCCAGTTGTATCCCTTCCTGTATTTAATGCCTTAATTCAATCTTCTGCAATATTAATATTTCTTTCAGTAAGTGCTACTGTTGCGACATAAAATATGAACCTATGATGTGTAACTGTCTGGGAGAGGTTTAAAATTTTTTTTTCTATATCACCATAAGTAAAAAGGAAGCCATGCTAACTCTAATCTAATTAAAACGTTATAAAACCAGGTGCACTTATCTGATTCCTAGGGATGTTGCTGTCATTTTAATAAAAGCTTAATAGTACTCTAACATGAAAACATTATTTGGAAAGTGAAGAGGTGTGATTAAACACACACATCATATTTGTGACGCTAGTATCTCCTAATGCCAGTTAAACATAATCAGGAAGAAATGAATGCTTATATAGCCTGAAAACTGACAAGTCATTAGTGGGTCATATTGTAGTGATGAAAGTAATCCTGGTGTCTGTAGCATCTGTACAGCTTAGCTGAGAACGTTCTCGTCTTTGAGAAGTCTAAGATTCAGGGCACTGGTTTGGCCCAGTGCTGCTACTGCACTGTAATACAGAGGAAAGGAAGTGAGCAAGCCTGCCTTTGGAAGGCCTTTAATTCAAGTGGGTGGTTAAACAGCAGTCCTCTTAGGTATTTTCCCAGGTAATAAGATTTCCTCTTCCCCATGGCAGCAACTAGAATGTGAAACATGTTGTCTCGGACTTGCTTGATTCAAGTCCAGTCTCAGTAACCAGTGAAGAAAAGCTCTTGACTTAAGCCTCTTTACTCAGAGGTTGCTTGGCATCCCTACAAAGTAAAGTAGTCCTCCTGAGTTTGTTTTAAAAGGGTGGCAACAAAGTCTATGCGGTTAGCAATTGCAGTCGAGAAGACGAGGACTTTTGGGGTTCCACATGGAGTTCTTCCAGCCACATGAGAGGCAATAGGTGAAGCACATACAAGAAGCTGCTGTGCTGCTCTCTGAACAGTATGTCTTCTGTAGATTAGATTCTATAATTATTTGCCAGAACATCCACATTGTTCTTTTGTCAGCAGAAAATTGGCACAACACTGGAAACTCATGCTTTAGGATTTAGGAGGAAGTGAGTGTTTTATGTTTGTGTTTAATTTTGTCTCAGAACAACCCAGGGAGAGCATCTCTAATCAGACCTTGAATAGTTAAAAGAAAAGAAATAAAAAGCACTAATCAGCACAAACACTACTTACTATGCTAGGTGCCACCCTATCAGTAAATTTTAAACCAAATCACTGAGCCCTAAGGCTCAGTAGATACTGGATAAGGAGTGGCCAGTAAAAGAGGCTCTAGGGATTTGTATTATTGGATGCAGAGCCCTGGATGTAATGAGTGAAAGCTTTTCACAATGTCTTTAATCATCCTTGTCCATACAGTGTCAAGAAGATTAAACTTTTACTATGGCATAATTCATTAATTTCTAGGGGCATAGAGTCCATCCTCTTCTCTTCCTAGATGCTGGGGAGAATCATATAGGGCAATAAAGTTGAAAAGATTGATTTGTGAGCTTCATAAAGCTGTAATCTGAAACTGCATTTTGCCATATCACAAGATCCCTGCATCTCGGAAAGTCTCAAGGGCCATAAATTTGGGCTAACGAGTGGAGTGCGGTATGTGTTTACCAGACTTCAGCTAGCCCTGGCTCCTGCTTAGCAGCAGTTAGCCTTCATCTTCAAGCTAATGCTGTCACATCCTTTGCAAGGCTCTAGTCTGATGCTTCAGTTCTTCTAGTGCTTAGGGAGAGACCTCAGCAGGTCTTCTAAGGTCATCAGTTTGAAGAGATGGTGATGTTTAGAGCAGAGCTTGGCAGAACACTTTCAGTGTTATTTTTAACACTGCTGTGGTGCAACCTAACAGGAAAGAAAACCAACTTTGGGAACTCAAGACATCTGTCAGGATTCAATGCCCTGATTTTGGAAAACAGCTCTGGCAGTTTACTGACCATCTTCCACAACCCAGAAGCTTTTCTTGACTCCTTGCCTCCTTTTGAAAGGTCATCTTTTTGCTATACATTCTTATTTTTAAAGTTTTCAGTCCTGTAGTCTCAGAACCCCTCCAATGGAAGTGCAACTAAAAATGAGAATTATTGTGAAGGGGATAGAGACAAAACTACCCTATAAAGCGCCCCATCAGTCACTAAGCTAGTTACCCATCACTAAATGTTAGAAATGTCATTTAAAATTCTAGAATCCTGGATGCTATAACAAAGATTATGAAATAGGAAACAGCTGGAGGTTGAGGGGGGGTTATTTTGTTTTGGTTTTTTGCTAGGGGAGAAAGATGCTGTAGGTGAACTTTTGAGTAGCCTGGGAAGGAGTTTTTGTGTAGGGTAAGTTTTGAGCTTCCTTTGTCATGTCTGTCTAGGGAAAGCAGGATGACTTGCTCCCTTCCCTGTTGCAATGTCTGGAGGATCTCAGCCAAGGTGCTTGGGAAACTGACTTCGATAGAAAAACTTCTACGCTTCTCAGTTTGTTATTTTGGCCACTTCATTGCT